CACAACACAACAATGGAGATATATTCCTTCCTTGTAAATTATTTCTTGGGATTGCTGAACACAACTCTCTATGAGAAATACTCACATTTTTTTATTTAAACCAATCGAGAAAAGATTACAAGACACTCTATAGAATACTGTTAGACAAGCACATTGAGTCACTGTGAATATGCTTTAGACAAGTACAACTGTGACATCGACATACAGGGTGGAATGCAAATATGGTGGAACGTCGATCCAGTTCGTGGTGGATGCAGGGTCGAACCCAAACTATTTTGCAGCTTTGATCGAATACCAAAATGGAGATGGAGTTCTTGGTTCAGTGGAGTTGAAACAAGCGCAGGGCTCGGGTTCATGGATTCCCATGAAGCAGTCATGGGGTGCAGTTTGGAAGCTGGACTATGGCTCCGCCCTTAAGGCTCCCTTCTCTTTCAGGCTCACTGCCCTGGAATCCAGGAAAGCCGTGGTGGCTAACAACGTGATTCCGGCAGGGTGGCAGCCGGGGAAGACTTATAGATCAGTGGTCNTAAACTTTATATTTATATAATATATTCCCATTTGGGTTATTGACCTTATAATACACCTTTGGGTTATATTACTAACACCAACAGACATCGAAATTTTAAATAATTATAATTGATGTTTACTAAAATTGCATGTCTCTATTATAGTAATGTCCCACAATTCCACACAACAATAAATTCTCCCTCCTTATCTTGACTCAAAATCCAACAACAAATCCTCTATTCTGTGTAAAAGTTATTGGACATGATCCTATTTCAGATTTACGATAGATTTATTTGGAGAGAACAAGGAATTTAACTACGGATGTACCGGATTTCTTACCTTTTATCTAATTTTGTTGCAATTGTTTCCTATTGATTTAGAAATTAAATGTCAATAGGAGTTTCACGAAATCACTTTAGATTAGCGGACAAACAATCGATTAAAAATTGGCCCACAATATCTCGAGTTAAACTGTTTAAAAAAAAAAAAGGAAATATAGGGGAGAAAAAAAATCTTTATTATTTTATATGTAATTTAAGTGTTATGGATGGTATGAAAAACCAATGTTAATAATGTAATTTTGAATAGTATATGGTTGATATATAAGATGATCGTGTTTATAGTATATGAATAAGGTTGTGTGTTTTATCCTGGTAACACTATTAATACGACCCACCTTGTAATTGTTACAAATGATTTGATTCAAATCGTTCATGTGGAGACATGTAAGTGGGGTATCTTATACAATGAGTTTATATAAGACTTGACCAAAAAATATTTAATATCTCTTTA